TTTTTTTTTTTTTTACATTTTATATTACCTGATATTCCATTGGTACTGGGAGTTTTTTCTAGTAGAATTTTGTAAAGTCTATGGTATAGCAAACACTTCAAGTATATAGCTCCTAATGCATTCTATGTACTGTATTGACTTTTTCTATTTTTGTTATGACTGTGACATGTTTGAATTTATTTGATTATTCTGATATGTCAGACCTCCATTATGAGTATTTGTAAAATTATGTACTTTGTTGTACTATTTTTATTTTTACATTTCTTTGGTATTGAAGCCGATTTAGCCTGACTGAAATAAAAATCACTTTGAAATACGTGTCCATTGTAAATGCTTTAAATACATCATTTCTAGCATATTGTGTTATTATAATGCATAATCTATTCATATTTATATTTTGATCCTCTGCACTGCAGATTTAAATACGGGGCATCGGGTGGTTTCTGTTCACACTCCCAAATAATTGTAAAGATCAGCTACAGACGTATTAAGACATACTGAAATAGCTTGGAACAATAATGTGTGTCCAATATGTTTTTAATGCAAAAAAAAAAGATGAATTTCTACATAACGGCATCTACTCATTCTACCTCAATAAAAATTCAGGAATCTATGAATATTTCTGAACTTTTCCTCACCTTCCGGTTCCAAGTGTGTAGGAAACTTATCTAGAACCAGTGCTTGAGTTGTCTGCTCTGGATGGAAAACACAATTCTTATATTCAGGTGATTATACACTAATGAAAACATACTTATTAATATTATATTCTATTTCTACCAATAGATCCTTATCAATGTTACACACTGGACCTTGAAGTATAATCAAATCAATCAAATCAAAAATGGAGGAACACAGCTGTAAAATGTTTAAAAAAAATAATTGTGGACAGTGTGGAGATAAACCCATTAAGTGTTAACAAAACAAAAAACAAGTATTAAATATGTACAACATTAAACATGGATGTTGTTTTACATCTACTTCCTCTTATTTGCCACGTAGGTTGTGTTTGTCTTCCACAGCTGAGGATGAAAATGCTTTCAGGGACAAAGGTTCATATGATTATAAAATGGTATTATCAATGTGTTTGATTAATCTCAGGGAAAAGATCTATTCTGACAATCATCATTCTGTGTGTTTGTGGCAATAGATGAGTCTGCAGGTCGTATGACCATGTTACCTCTGATGTAGATGAAGTCCTCTAGTCTGACCCAGCAGAGACCCACGTACAGTATACAATATGTTCTGTGTGAATCTTGTGAATATTCATGTTTTATATATATTTCTTGAAAATGAAGAAGTAGTTTTTCTGTAGCTAAAAGGCGTCAGCACTGTTGTCCTTCCTTTGATGTATTGTGTAATGACTGCTCAGTAGTGTTTATATATTGACTGAATATGTTCTGAAAGCATCGTTTGATTTTGAGCGCAGATAAAATGGTTTTGAAGCAGTTGTTTGATTTTACCTCCTAGAGTCAGGTGATATTTTGTGATTGTAGTTTGAAGCTTTGGTTTTGTTTAAAGTTTTGAGACAAGAGTGTACGTTTTCAAGAAATGTGTCTTTGTGTGATTCTTTATGGGGTTGAGCTCCTGGCAGTGAACAATATGACATTATTTTTTCATTGAAAGTGTACATTACCTGCAGCATAAAGCTAATCTATTTCCTCACATGAACTATCTGCTCTGTACTGGGATCAGGTATTAATCACAAAGACAAAGTGTTTCAGAGGTTAGCAAATAAAAGTGCATTCTTCTTCAGTACAACTCAAACTGGTAGGAAAATTTAGTGCTTTGGTTAGGTTCCTCGTGTTGTGCTCAAATTCACTCAATCACATTTATTTTAAGGTCCAGTATGTAACATTTAAGGAGGATCTACTTTCATAAACTGAGTATAATAATCATAGGTATCATTTCATTAGTGCATAATCACCTGAATATAGGAATTGTTCTGTTTTTGTCACCTTAGAATGAGCTGTTTTTATCTACAGACACATTTCTACAGTAGAACAGAGCGGACAAACACTAGCTATAGATAGGGCCTTTCACGGTTCTCCTACACACTTCACAGCCTGCTCTCATTCCTCATACAGACGCCAGCCGCTGCAATCTGCAACTTCCCCGCTAGATGCCACTAAATCCTACACACTGGTCCTTTACGTGCATGCGAAAGAAATGTCAGAAAAGATAACAATTAGAGTTTGAATCAGCATCGGACAGACTGACGCAGGAGAGAGACCTCACAGAACAAAACGATTTAATTGCACTCAACAACATACACTCAAAGACTCTCTCCAAACACAGACATTCAAAAACACCTTTGCGGCATACAGTCGCCTTTGTTCCAGCACAAAAACACCACCTCCGTGCTGAGAAGCTATTCAGGAAAGAGAAGGGGGGGGCCTACATTCTGTACAAGGCCAAGACAACAGTGGCTTAGTGCAATTATCTGGAGCGTGATGATCGGCCATGCTATGCTGTTTACAACTACAGACACAAAGGCGTGATGAGAACGCAACATTAGTAACTGCACGCACTGAGAAGCAACTATATAAACTTACACGTATCATCGTCTGGTCATTGAGGTTACTTGTGGCAGTCGTAAAGTATTAATAGGTAAACTAACACACTTCTGGGGTTCCTTATACAATATTCTTGGTTTCAGAATACAAACTCAATACTTTATAAATTTGTTGTGAGACATAGTGCATTATCAGTTGGCTTTGATTTCACAAAATCTGGGCTGCTCGGTACAAAACTATGAAAAATACTCGTTTATCAAAGGTAAACAATGCAGCTTTCAGGCAGCCGTCGTCGTGGTGACGCTGCTCCAACATGTACATCCACCGTGAAATGAAATGAAAATCGGTCTGTCCCTACAGTTGACTGAATAATGGCAGCAGAAGGTGGAAAACCAGTCGGACCACTTGTTTGTTGTTTGTTTGTTGTATGACTGTGCGTGGTGAGTGTGTGTGGGTGTCCTCTACAGCCTCTCGAAGCCGATAGAGCAGAGGAGGAAGATGGCGTAGAGCAGAATGAGGCAGAGTCCCAGCCTGCGGTCCAGCCTCCAGCAGTTCAGATGGACACACAGGACCTGAGGAGGGATGGACAGAAAGAGAGAGAGCGCTTCATTTCCCGTTGCACTGGCCTAAATAGAAAATCCCCCGAGGACAGGAAGTCGCCGGGGCTCTCGGGCCATGACGGGAAAAAAGATCAGGTAAAGAAAAACAAGGTGGTTTTTGCTCCTGTCGCACTGTGACAAACGATTTGATTAAATAACTGAATGTTAACAGCGACGAGCAGAGATGATGAAGGTGTACTCACTGTGAGTATGACTGAGGCCAGTAGCAGAATCACTGAGTACACCAGGCCTTTGCTGTTGATCGTCACCTAAAAACCAGAGATGAGTAAACATGAATGTTCAGTTAAATCAGTGTCTTCAGTCCTTCTTTGAATTGTAAAACCTGCTGACTCTCTGGCCTAAACAGGGGGAAAGTTGGACAACCCCCACAAGGATGTTGCTTTGTTCTTAGCACGGGTCGGGGATTGTAAGGCAGAGAAAGCGGTTGGTGTTACCACTGATCCGTAGCTGACTATGAGAGTCCTCAGCGCCCAGGGGAAGCCCAGACCCAGCAGCACGTCAAAGATATTACTGCCAATGGAGTTGGACACAGCCATGTCGCCCATCCCTGCAACATTTCACATTCAGATAAACACAAAATGGAATTCATGTGAAAATATGTACATTAGACATCATAATGTATCATCATTAGAAGATACATTATAGTGTCACAAGTTTGCAGAGCCATTTTCACTTTTACATTGTATTAATCAAGGATATCTGTAACTCTGAGAGGTAGACTCAGCCACAGTGGCAGACAGGTTTCAGGCCTCTCTGGTTTAACCAGTGTTGTATCCCTCATGCTCTCTCCCCCCTAACTGTGTCTCTCTTGTGCCTCGAGATCGTTCCTCCTCCTCTGCCACCCTTCTTGCACCTACACTCTGCTCATGCCATCCACCCTTGTTATCCCTGCAGGGTTATTGAATAAACCCTCTTAACTTCATTGTACCTCTGTCTGTGTCCTGCGTTTGTGTCCACCGTGTAATACTGTAACACCATAAAAGTGTTGTGTTGTAGAAAACAACCCACACATCAAACTTCCATTAAGATGGAATATAAAGGTGATGATGGGCTGATGTTTTCCAGCAAGAGAGACTAAATATGGTAGAAACACACAGCAGTTTTTCTAAAAAAAATGTTGTGATGCATGTTGCAATGTTTTGCAGAGAAAGTGAAAAACACAAAAATATATTCGTAAAAATCAGAGGCAACTTGCAGTCGGAATAAAATCGCTAGTTTGGTGACGTATGGCTCAATGTTTTGCGATGAGTACTGCTATGATTGGCGAGTTTTAAACCGCTGTTGATTCCAGCCTCTGATGTGGTTTAAAGCTCGAGAAAAAAGCTAGTAAATGGACCTTCAGTCTTCTGTCAAACCAGTATGAACCTCCACACTTAACATTCTGACTTATATTTGTAACATAAATGTTGGTGTAAATGGTTATAATCAACAGTGTCAACACACACAAACACACACACCTTGTCGAGCGACGATGAGGCTGGCTATACAGTCAGGGACACTGGTGCCGGCTGCCAGAAAAGTGATGCCCATGATGACTTCTGGGATTCCGAGTGTGTAGCTGATTATGGTCACCTGGACAGACGCACAGAGGAAAGAAGCTGTGTGTTTGTGCGTGTATAATATATATAAGTGTGTGTGTTTTGCCGGTGCACTAGTGTGTTTCCTACCATCCAGACCATGAGGTAGGAGAAGAGAGCTATCCAGAGCGTGGAGGACAGGAAGGTGAGCAGGTACCAGCGCTCCCACCGCGGCAGGCTACAGTCGGGGACGGTGCAGTAAAGCAGGACGCTCACGGGCCAAGAGAGCAGCCACTTCAGACGCACACACCAACCATCTGAAGAACGCAGACACATACACGTGTTTCTCCACAGGGATCATTACAGATTCATCTCAACTTCTAAATGATTCATGCGGCACGGCGCTGTGTCTGTGAGCCTTCATCCCCGTTTAATTAGCTCCATTAGCAACGAATCCTTCTCCAACACTGGAAAATATCACACGTAGGTGGAAGCAGAAGCTTTTTATTCCTCCGCCATAAATGTTTCCAGTTAGAGAAAACTCATTTCCTTTGTTTTTCCTCTCTTCTACCTGGAGTCATATTTTTTCTGCCTGGTGCAACTGTCTAGGGTGTTACAAGGAACTTCCCCAGGGGACCAAGAAGCTATTGGGAACGTTATCTGCATTTTTACAAAAGGATTCAGGGACTAAATTTAGTTGCAGGTGCCAAAATAGTTCCTGTTGAGGAACCGTCACAGCAGAGACGTTCATGACATCAACTCAACATCTGCGATGCATCATCTGATTCATCTTATCTTCACCGTTCTTCAGACTTTTAGTTCCTTTTCATTGTTTCTGGAACTATTTGATCAAAGTGTCAAAATCCAGTTTGACATAGATTCACTAAATATAAAGTCTAATGTCTTTCTGCAGTAGTTGTTATGTGTATGGGCGGTTCTGTGTTGTAGCTGTTTTATCCACTAGTTGTTCTCGAGGAATGAAGCAATAAAAATATGAATTCACTTAGATTCATTCTAATGTTAGTCAGAAAAACTTCCCTGTGGCCTCAGAGATTTACTTCAACCAATAAAAGTATTCTGTGAAATAAATTAAAACCCCAGTTCAGCCTCTGAGAGTCCGTTTTCATTCACTCACCTGGCAGGACGAAGGGCTTGAAAGGAACGTTCTCATCCTCTCCTTCCTCCTGCTCTTCCTCCTCCTCCTCTTCCTCTTTAGGCTGCGCTCCCCCGCCCGTCTCTCCCCCAGTCTCTTTACCCCTCTCCCTCTCTCCCTCCAGCGGCTGCGTGTCTCCCTCGGCCACCGTCCCGTTCTCCCTCCCCCCCCACGGCCCGTTAGCGCCCACGCCTTCCTCCCCTGAAGCTCCCCCCTCCTCCGGGCCGACCCGGGCACGAATCAGCCTCTGTCTCTGCGGGTGGGGAGGGATTGTGGGGTGAAGTCGGATAAAGGAGAGAAGGGATTGGAAAAAAAGAAAGAGGAAAGTGAAATGACATGAAAAACACTGCAGTGGACTTATGTAAATGACTTCGTCTGACTGTAGCTGACGATATGAGAACTGGCAGGAGGAGTGATCAGGCAGCCAGGCGCATTCATCAGTGGGCATTTGGAAAGCATTGATCAGGGGCACGGCACAGAGAGGCGGGAAGCACTGGCAGTCGCACTTTAATTTGGCACTGGAAAAGCCAAGCACACATGCAGGAGAGCGGAGAGTGGAGAAGCAGATTTGAAGATTGAGTTTCTTGGGGGGCCTTTTGTGTTTGGGATAAAAATGTGCATTAGGCAGCAGTCTGTGTGTGTCTGTGTTACTTTGTGGGCTTATCAGATGACGTCCGTCTAACGACAGCAAACAGACCTGAAGCACAAATCAATCCTCCCATCGGTTTGTCTACCAGCAAACCTTCTGTACAAAGACTGAGCTGTGCGCGGTATCTTACTATATCGATCATTACCAAATGTAACAAATCAATAAGGTAACAACCATAAACAAATAATATTATCACCAAGTTGAAACGGTAGCCTCTAAACTCCTATTCTCCTATTATTAAACAGCATTTTGATCAAGTTGGACATGTTAACTTTTTAATACAATTATTATTTCATGGTAAATGGGTCATATGTTAGCTTGTCAGTTAGTTTAGTATAATCAGGTATTTCCCACTCATCATCAACTGCATGAATACTAACTACGAGATTATTACACAGAGCAAAACCCCCCTAAAACTTTCAGCAGTTATGTTAAAGCTTGTGATGCTACATTGACTTCCTTTTATTGGTGCAACCCAACTGAGTAAATCACTGCTTTGAAATAAATTAGCTAGTAGTTACTAAGAACTTAAGGAGGACTTTACGACACAAACTCGGGACGGCTTTACGAACACACACAAGCGTGATCCTTCATTAAATTTACAGAACTTTTACATTTTTTAAAATGTGGCACATGCACATTTAATTACCCACCGAACTAGCCGAAAAAAAAAAAAGAAAAAAAAAACCCAGGGGAACTTGGCTTTATGTTGTTGAGCGCGTGCAGGGTACCTCATTGATGATCATGCGTCCTGCCATGCGCAGGCGGGTGAAGGGGGGGAAATGCGGGGTGATGAGAAGGCGGAGGCTTGCCTCTGAGAAGGAGAGTTGGTGGGGGTGCAGGTTAAGCATCTCATCCACCATCACCACCCCTGAGTCCTGGCCAGCCACTACACATGATTCTGGGGAAAGTTGGGGGGTGGACAGAGGTTAGCAGGAGATAAAAGTGAAAAGGAGAGGATAGTTTACGCAGAGAAAAGAGGACAGAGTGATGGAGAGACATCCATCACAGTGCTCCAGTTCTATTTCAGCCTGTTGAAAATCCACAGGGGAACAGAAATGGGTTTGACTGGCAGCCTAAACTGTGTCACTAGGTCTGTTCAGAGACGGAGACTTTTTGATGTTTTGGATGGACGCATGCACTTGCACAAAAACAAGCTCTTGCACCTGGCTTCAGCGGCACCATGTCATTGTCACAGTCTCCGATGCTTCCGACCGCAGTGGTCCGCCGCAGGCTGCTCAGACACGGCTGACCTGCCCTGCTGCAGTGTCGCTCTACCAGGCTATGCAGAGACCTGTTGAACCTACACAAGAGACAACACACACAAACACACACACAAAGATATTGTGTCTTTTGTGGGTACAGAACGGGCGGTGGCTTGATACCAACGTTGTGGAAATGTGAAGAGGAGACTCACTTCATGATAATTATGTAGATTCCATACATGGAGATCAGGATGATGGTCTCCCACCTGAAACACGCAGACAAACGCCAACATAGATTCAGAAGTACCACCATTACAGTGACATCAGCTATCTTACAAACAACAGAGGCTGTAAAGAGTTTCATTACAGTCTTACCACATGACTTTTTCATCGTAGATCACCTGCAAATAAAATCAAAATATACTTTATCAAAGGGACATAACAAATTTGATTGATTAGCTCATATCAGCCATTATATTGACTACTATTTGCTCTTCACAGATATATCAGTATCTGCGTGTTCCAAGAAATTGCAGCACAGATATGTTTCAGAACTTCTCTCTACTGGTACTGTGCTGTAATACTGTAGTTTGTGGTCTTGCGAGTAAGAAAAAATTACAATAGAATCCACTTTATTTACTCCAGTCTTTCAGGCTTGACTGGCAGGTATAGGCTGCACTTCATGTGTAAAGCAAATTGATTGATTGCCATTACAAAATGAATTCCCTGCCAAACAGAGAAAAAGAGCCCGGTGTGAATGTTGTGTTTTTACTGGAGGATTTCTCACCAGGATGAGCACCACTATGGAAAGGATGTAGAAGACAGAATCACGAAACAAAGGCCACCAGCTCAGAATGATGGGCTGGAGAGAGAAGACACACATCAATATATGACCACTGTCTGGGCCAGAGGGTTTGACACTGGCAAGACAAAAAAGTAATTTGTTCTCTTTTAGTTCAGAAAAGCTGAGGTTAGTCCTCCTTTTAGCTTCAGGGTACCTGTCCAGAGAAGATGCCACAGATACCGATGATGACCAGGATGTTAAAGACAGCTGATCCTACAATTGTTCCAACCCCCACGTCTCCTTTTGTGATAAACACCCCTTAAAGACACAGAACAAGAAAGACTGAGCCAAAAATCATCAGCAGAAATTTATTTAATGTGACAATCTGGAAGAAATGATGGATGGCGTCTCCCTCCCATTCATAAAAGTGCACACAGTTAGACATACTGTCTTTCTCCTCCGAGTGGAAATATTGCATCTTCTATTTATAAGCACAGGGGCTGGGCAGATGTCTTTTATCTTATGCTACTGATTGTGGAATATTTACTTCATATTGCCTACAGTCACTCCAGTTCTTATCAAAGCCAAACCATTTTTTTCCTTTGTGAATAAAATATATTATTTCAGAGGCGATATATGAGAAAATATCCTTAAGCCACATGGATGTAGAAGTTTTCAGTCTTTTAAGTCATGTTTTTAATAAACATTTGTACGATGATTTCCGCCTCTGTTTTATAGCAGTTTTCAAATACTGTGAATGAGCCTGATAAGCCTTTTTTTATCTAAATGTTATCATCTAAATCCACATTTACTGAAACAATACCTGCTTTCTGAAGAACAAAAAACGTGTGAGAATATCTGGGCCACGGAAGTAATTTGCTGGTGAGCTGGCACACCATCAAGCTAAATGAAAGGCGCTCTTCTCGTTGTCTTTCTTCACGCCTACTTTAATGCCTAAAATTGGCCAATCATGCTTTTGCCTACATACACTCAGACCTCATCAGGTGAAGATGCATGTGAGTGCACTTAATTGGAGCGCTGATGGAGCAACCGTTGGGCTAACGATTAAAGGGAGTAACTGAAGAGCATCGTACTGACCAATCAAAGAGGTGAAGAGCTCGGGGGCGGAGCTCCCAGCTGCCATGAAGGTTGCCCCAGCAACATCCTGACTGAGCTGAAGGTTCTAGAGGACGGACGTAAAAGAGTTTGAATAAATTAAATGATAAAGCTGGTGGTATTTTTCTTATTGACAACAAATCCCAAATCAGTGGATTGATCCTACTGCCACGTGCAGACACCTGATACAGCCATAGACCTCCATCGTTGTCTCCAATGAGCCACACTGTTGTACTGGCTGATATGTTCCTTTATTACAATGAACATTGGTACTGTAGTTATCTGATAATAGTCTCCAACAAATGCACTATTTACTCAATTTAAAAACTAAACAATAGATTTGTAATTTGTTATTCAAGATGTATGTCTTCAGTCAGAACAAATGTCCTTGGGGCTGGAGAAGGTCGTGACAGATAGACTAATGCATTGTAGTTTGTCTTTTAGTGGGACATGTAGACAATGAGAAAAATAAAGAATACCTCCATTCTTATCTTAGAAAATGAAAATAAACAGATGCTTTCATACCCAGAGATCCAAACAAGTGTTTTATACCTCAACAAAAAGACTTTATTGTATTCTCAACCACATGAGATGTGTCTTTAATTCATACCTCTGATACTTTTTCCAGTGATGGCACAAAATAAACATCACAGATGATGGCCAGGGCGTGGAACATGTAGACAGCCTGTGAAATACAGGAAACACATGAATGGCCACATGACTTATACAGTGTATGAACCAAATGAAGCTTCTTTCATTTCCAATTTTCTGGCTTCAGGCAGAGCTGATACTCACACAGAGAACATGAAGGAGTACCGCTCCGTGTCTCCTCTGCTCCAGAGTAAAGACGTCTTCGGGAAAATCACTGATAGCTGGAGGAGAGATGGACAAAGAGTAACCCAACGATGCATACAGTGACAGAAATCCAATAGCAGATTAAGTGATTAGTTGATGCACAGAAGGAAAACAAAAAATCTGCAAGTATTCTCATAATGAATTAATCATTTAATGTCATGTCAAAGATTCCCCAGTTCCAGATTTGTTGCTTTTCTGTCTCTCCACTGACTCCCTGTCACTTTAAGAACTGATTCAAATGTTTTACTTCAAAACAAATACAACGTATTACATGGTCATGTTCCTCTGTATTCCAAGAAACTGTTTGACCCCTGAGAGGATGCTCAGGTGTTCAGGGACTTCAAGGCTGAAAACTAAAGCTGATCATGCTTTTGCTGCTGTTGCTACTCGACTCCCACAAAGTGTCAGAGATGCTAAATCAGTGCCAAAACCTTTGGATTTTACGCCATCTTACTGTTTTGTTTTTGTAATCTCTGACTCTTCTCCATCTTTCCCTTTTCTTCTTCCTGTAGCACTTTTTAAGTACTTTGTGAATTAAGTTTGTGTGCTATTCTTTGTCTTACTGTGACTGTAAACTCAATATGTCAGTTTTAATGAATCTAATGAAAATGCCTCTAATCAGTTAATGAAGAAATATAATCAGCAGATGAATCGCTAATGAAAACAATCCTTATTTACAGCTCCAACCAGTCACTTGGGCACGCATTTAAATGGTGTGTGTGTGTGTGTGTGTGTGTGTGTGACTTTTCTTGGACGTCTGTTCAGTTGTATCCCCTAGCAACAAGGGCCGAGACGGCTTGAGGTTAAAGTGGTGCCACAATCACGTGATTAAACCACTTCAGTTGCATTATAATTGAGTTTTTCACTCCTCTTCTGACTTCACGCTAGCTTCAGCCAGGTATTCATACTGACATTCTTTTCCAACTCTTTCCAAAAGCCCATCAGTTCCTATAAAGTCCACCTTCAGAGGCACTAAATTTGGCCGATTTAGTCAATGCGTCACCATCACCCTCCTTCCAACTGTAAGGGAGTGAGGCCGCACTGTCTTGCACATAAGCTCCAACAAATGCCACGACTCACTGCACCATTAAAAAAAAAAAAAGAGCTTTTATTATGAGGCAGTGCGAAACAATAATCTGAAAAGCTGCCTCCCAAGCGACTTCCCCTACAAGGTTTTCTGATTCAGGATTCATAAAACCTCCACTGAAGATGAAGGTCACCAAAAAAGTGTGACAACAGTAGATAAGAGCCTGCACAGAGGCAACATTGTGCAGTCAGAAGCTAACATGGATCACATGTAGGCATGGAGACACAGATATACGATGACCTGTCACATGATCAAGCAGTGTATTTTTATCATCAAGAACAAGATGAAGCTCTTGGAAATAACAGTATGGTAATTGGAAGAAAACATCTTTGAGGCACTGAAGTTAAACTGTACTGTATTTCCCAGAGGCAGTGCAGTTTTTTCTTCTTCTTCCAACCTCAATATATGTAGCTCAGCGTCTGTAATTGGCTACAAAATCTCTTCATCTCACATCAGACTGTAAGATGCTGTCACTGTTTCTCTCTCACCAGCCAAATAGATCCAAGCACACGCGAGCGATGAGAGAATTGCTGATGAGAGGCTACTAATCAGCAGGTCATTACGACAGGGCAGCCACTTTGAACAGCCCCAGATGCGGACGCCATCCAACCACTAATACAGCATTCAGTTTCCTAGCAACCGGGTCCCCTCAAAGGCCTAACTGTGTTTAAACATCTAGATGTGCAGAGTTTGAAGAAATGAAGGATGAGGCGCAGACGTAGATCGATGCACAGAGGAGATAGACTTGGGTTTAACGGATTAATAGAGATAGGGCTCCACACACACACACACACACACACACTAGTGTTACTTAAACCATCACTGTGACTTCAGATTAACCACTGTATTAATTCATATCTAGACCTGTTAATGGGTAAAAAGAAGTCCAACTCTATACACTCACAAGTAATTTTTCTATTATTGTAAAAAGAAATTGTCTCTTCCGTCTCACACACAGTAAAATATCTCACCAGATTTAGAAATACTTTCAGTCTGGTTGTTGTCTTCTTTCAGCTGGATCATCTCTCTCTTAGAAAAGGAGATGTCGTGATCCACAGTGGGTCCATGGGAGCCTAAAAAGAAGGATCGACATATAAATACATCCACTGATAAAACATATGACTCATTATACCATAAAGACAAGTTTTGCATAACATTTATCCAACTTCAGGGTATAACCTTTCTCTAGTAACTGTGCAGCTACAATACTCCGTTACTAACTGTATTATTACTGCAATATAACATATAATGCAATTTACATACAAACAGACAACACAACTAACGGATGGAGTTCAGTGGAGACTAAATTAGGACAGTTTTATGCATTTTGTGAGAAGCACCTGTAACATCATTGAAGTGAAAGACCCAGGCGGCTGCGAGCAGACCGACCACACAGACGCAGAAACGCGGGAGGAGCCGCGTCTGCCTCGGTCTCCTCGGCGCCTTCATCCCGCCAGCCGCCGCCGCTCACCGGCTCTCCGCTCAGAACATGCCCCCGCTGGCTGTCGCTGCTGCTCTCTCCGGTCCTCCGCTTTCACACAGGACGCAACTGGCCTGTTGCTTTCTTCTGTTTTTCTTCCCCCGATTGATTCTCTTTCAGCTAGTTGAGCTTCGGGCTCCATCCACGGTACAGGGGGGGGTTTGATTGGGCTCGGCCTGTCAGCAGCATCTCAGCAACCCGCTCCAGTCAGTGGGCACCAACGCAGCATCCACATCCACAAGCTCCAGCTCCAGCAGACACGCACAGACAATGAATCACCAGCCAGCAGCTATACAGAAATAAAGCTCGATTCAGAGCGTCCACACATCCCCGCTGCCCTATATCTGATCCACGCCCCCACTCTTTACGATGTTCCGTCTGGGAGGAGGTTGTTTTCCTGGAGTCACAGACAAGACCACCAGGGAGCGACTTCAGCTGGGTGGGGCGACTGGAGAGAGGCATGGAAGCACTTCTACTGGTGCATGTGATTCAAAATGTGAACATGTCATTTACAACATGAACAACGTGGACACTGGGAGAGACTGTAATAATAAGGGGGGTTACAAAAGGGTTTTAAGTAATGCTCCTGCTGGCAGACTGGACTGTGTAAGTTATTTAGGAGATTGTGGAGGCTGCTAAAGGGCTTCATTTTGTGGTCACTACTAATTTGGTGTAACTACACTTTTTTCAACATCAGGGCACTAATGAGTAAAGGTAATGTGCGGGTGTGTTCATTTAAAATAACTAACAACTCATCTTAAAGGATGGGAATTTAGTCAAGTGCATTTTAAGACAATACTCACATGGCCATACATACAGTGAATGAGTTATTGGTTGCTGTAACTGCTCTCTTCTTTACATTTAGCTAAAGTTAATTAATAAATCAAATGCTTTCGTTCCACTTTTGTCTTTTTGGTACAATATTCCTTCTGTGGTTCAACAGGAGAAACAACTACAGCAAATAACTTTTCGGGTGTACATACAGGAATGTGAGTGTTGTTTTGAGACTGAGTTGAGTTAGTATACAATTTTCCTTCATTGACTTTGGTGCAATTTTAGTCAGATGTGTAGTGGGCAAGAGAAAAATGTAAAAAAAAAAAAGTTATATAAAGATTGGGTTGAACAATGTAAACAAAACATTGGTCATATATATTATGTATATATATATAATATATATATAAGTTTGGTTTGATTTACAGTAAGTCAGAAACAGTTTTACAAACAGTAAACAGTAAATGATCCGTTCTTCCTAGTCAGACCTGCTATATTGGATTTTTACTGATATTGTTTCTAGTATTTAATCTAAAAAGGAAAACATCTGTAAGATTTAAATTACATAATACACAAATCCTTAATAAATCCACTGCACTGCAAATTTCATGTGGTATTTTTCAAAGAAATGAAATATTTATGATAAAAACTTCAGCCTTATGCTCTGTCGAGTAGAAAACATGTTCAGCTACAGAAAAAGCCCACAATCAGCCAGATAAATGGAGTTAACATATTTATAAGAGATCAAATAGGAGGTAGGGCGCCGTAATGCACAGTGCAGTAGGGCTGTAACATCAGGCGTGCACTGCTCCACAAGGTGTTCATGGAAAAAAACTCTGAGTTTCCCGCACAGTTTCCTGACGCCACAAAGGCCAAAACCGTGAGAACGAAGAGGAACAGCATCAACAGTCCTGCTCTCTGGAAGGCTGTCTCCAAGTTACCTGCACACCTTAGACGATGGACGGTGACGAACAAGAACACGCAAAGATAAAGAAATACAATTATGATTATTAATACACACAGAATAATCTTGTTATAGCTTTCACACTTCTTAAAGTCTATCAAAGCTGTTTTATAAAGGGAAACTGAGGTACCTTTTGGTCTGAAGGTCTACTGTGAGACTTTGAGGTTCCAGCAGCTCCTCAGCCTCCTTTCCCCCCTGCAGACAGTCACAGACATCACTAATCTCCTCATTTCTAAATCTACAGTCAAGTACTGACAGTTTTCATCTGTGCTTTGTAGTGGCACACTCTAGTGGTCACTTGTGGAAGCACAGGATGTATAATCATTTCGGAAGATGTGGTTTTTGGTGCTGTTTGAACTGTGCTGCATTATACAGGGGGGTGTTTCTGCTATTTATCCTACAATCATTGATATAAATAGGATGGATAAAATAACAGAAAGACCTGTCAAGTTCAACAGTCTAAAACACAGGAGGGAGAGGTCATACAAGATCTTTGGAGTTTGACATGCTGGGTTTCACTTCAGCTGAAGAGATGAGCAGCTTAATTTCCTCTGCGAAGGACAGAGGGGGACTGAGCGATCCTTCCTTTTGTCCTATTACGTCACTCAAAACAGCACTGAAAACCAACAACAGACGCACAGCACAGTATGAATGCAAACAGATGACTCAGTGTACGTTCTGATATTCATTTGAAGGATTCGGTGCGTCAGGGTTACAATGAGGCTTCATCCTTTGTGTCCTCCAACTGCTTCGTCAGCTCCTGATTTGTCAGCCTGAGATCCTGCAGCAGAGGAACATGATCTGACAACAAAACACTTCATCTGATAGTGGTTTATAGCTGAGTGAGTAATGTGCATGTAAACAGGGACAATGCTGGACATTTGCTCCTGTTATCTCTTCTTTACAATTGCAGCTTGCATTCTGCAAATTTGTTGAAATGGTCCCCTGAACATGTGCCATTAATCAACACTGTGAGAACACAGACACTCAGTGTGTTCTGTCTGTTCTTTTACTGATGCAGTGAGCCAATTTTACCCTTGTATCTCAGTTTAAAGAAGCATTTCACCCGTGGAAACATTAATCTTTATTGAAAGTGGGTTATATATGTAGTCGAAATGTAACATAAATTTTGAATTTGGTGCCTATTTGACCGAGAAAAGAGTGTTTGTAGTCTCAC